AAACACTGGTTTACCAAAGGATAGACATTCAGCCATAATGTTAATAGGTGTAATTGGTTTTGGGGTTTTTTCTCTCAGATTTTGGACTGTGTAAGGAGGCTATCGACTATGAGAAGAAGGCTTACTCCTTCTGTGGGACGGTGGAGTACATGGCTCCAGAGGTGGTTAACCGGCAGGGTCACACCCACAGCGCTGACTGGTGGTCATTTGGAGTACTGATGGTATGAACAGATTCATGCAGAAGTGGAGAAAACCTGCTTTGATGTCAGTTATATTTTGTCTAATATATTTTGCTTTAATGGTTGTTTTCGGTTTCTCTTTTAAACAGTTTGAGATGCTTACGGGTTCTCTGCCATTCCAGGGAAAGGACAGAAAAGAAACAATGAATCTCATCCTGAAGTGAGAATCCATTTATTTTTGTTGTTCTCATAGAGTCTTTAAATAATTCTATCAAGTTGGTTTTTAAATGAAGGATTTAGGATAAATGTGTTTTATGTTATGATTGGGCTTATTTTTTTGTTCCAGGAAATAGTCCTCAGAGCATCATTTTCCATTTCATTGGTTTGCCTAATTTGTTATTAGCAAGATGTTGGAAGAAAAACAATATAAGCTGTTAAACAACAATTGATCTCTATTATGTATTAATGTTGACTTTTCCTACACTAAATTAATACTTTTATTCAGCAAAGAGACATGACAGTAAGTCAGAAAATGACAGTAAGTCATTTATAATGTCATGAATCAATGAATGCTGTTCTTTTGGAATTTCACTTAATTGCAAAAGATATTTATTAACTTGTTTCAATATTGTCAAAAAATCTTACCAGAACTTTTGTAGAGTAGCATATATGTAGTGAACATTGATCAGTTTTTGAGTCATGATTATTGTTCGGTTTTCTTCTCAGAGCGAGGCTGGGGATGCCTCAGTTCCTGAGCACTGAGGCTCAGAACTTACTGAGAGCCCTATTCAAGAGGAACCCTACCAACAGACTGGGTAACATATACGGTGACCATGATTTCACCACGTACAGCATGTTCCTGGATCAACATCCTTGTTGATCCTGGAACAA